TTGCTGCATCATAGCACTCTGCTGCAGCTCGCCCGCAACCTGGTTCCGCTCGTCCATTGAAATTTTTAATTGAGAAGCTAAATGATTTTTATCTTTCTGTGCTTTGACAAGCACCTCATCCCTTGCTTTGACCTGCTCTTCAATATTACCAAGTGTATTATTGAATTTATCTCGCAGGTTAGCTTCCTGGGATAAGGACTTGTGCAAACTGTTGGATAAAAAGCACAATTTTATTAAGGAAATTCACATTGATAAAGTATCATCACTTTTCTTTAGTGCAACATAAGTATGAAATATCCTCCTAAATATTGGATGGTTGATTGCATTGATGTTCTTTCTTCTTTTATTGCAACCTAACATTAAATTTCCTCCCAAATAATCACTGATATTTATTTTCATTTTATTTATTAAGTTAACAGGAAACATTCAAGGATAAAAACATAGTAAATTATAAAAAGTAACCTACTGTAATGTACACTGTACAGGTAAACTACTAAAAATTTTAAGAGTACTTACCTATAATACATTCTGAGATTCTGTAATTCTTCTTCAAGTTTGCGGGCTTTGGTGATAGCTATGTCACGTTCCTGTTTTGTAGACTGAAGTTGAACCTGAAACAGTAAACACAACAATAATTTCATAACTCAAACATATGTCAATAAATAATACTTATCATCAGAAAAGGTGTGCTTGGGGAAGGGATATAAGCAATGCATGCACTGTATGTTACAGGAAAAATATATAGGAAAAAGAATAAGATACAGAACAGAATATTAAGACATATTAAAAATTAACATTTGACATAAGAATCAATATTTGTAAATGTGCACATTGAGAAAGAGTTGTGATAGGAAAATTTAATCTATAGGCGGAACTTTTTTTATTCTGTTTCGCGTATTTATTTTTTTAAAGATTATCAGAGGATGGCGGAATAAAAATAAAGATAAAATTTTGTTTTCTTATTTAGGAAATAGTTTTGCCAGAAACATCCAGATGGAGTAGAAAATAAAAAAATATAATTTTATTGGTAAATGTAAAATTCGTTAAATGCTTCAAATTTATATAATTAGGAAGAAATATACATTTGTTATCTTTGAAGATTTCGAGGCAGCGGAGGGCGTAACAATAATTTTAAAAAACCCCTTTTTTTCTGAAATTTCCATTTTTCGTGGCGGTGGGTGCGCTAATTGGCCAAAAATAAAATTGTATCTTTATTCGGAATCATCAATATTCACAGTCGGCAGGTTCGGTAAACAAGGTATACAAAAAGCCTCGCCTTATTAGTAATACATTAATGAAAATACTAATAATATTTGAAAACATGTTAAAACATTATTAAACAAATAGTACATTTGACAAAATTTTAACAATAAAACATTTCTTGAGGCAAATAATATAAACTGGTGTATTATAATATTTCATTCACTATTTGCTGTAAAATATTTACTGTACTCCAATATCAACAACCATGCATTTGAAAAGCACTGGAGCAAAAAAAAAAAAAACATATCAAAGACTTGTTGACAATCTTGTTTAAAAAGTAGATGATGCGTTTCTTTTAATATTTGCAAGCATTCACTAAGAAAATACAAAAAAATTGAACCAACACATATTAAGAAGCAAAGAATAGAAGTTTCTACACAAACATAAATTACATATTAAGCCACACATGTTCAAGCAATAATATTATATTTCAATTAAATGATTATTAAATTCTGAGCCTTAAAAATATATTAATAATGAGCAACATATGCTGCTTATTGTGAACATTCTCATATGAGAGATTCAGCATATTTCATTATTAGGATTATAACGCTGTAAAGCATTCATTAAGTTGAGATTATTGGTCAATATACGCTAGCAAAGCAGCACCTTAGGCAGGCCTTATTTACCATGTTTCATTTCAATAAAGTCAATGTGTGTCTAAAGTACTATATTGCCTTTCATTGATTTGTTCATGCGTCGCTATAGCTGCTGCTAGATATAGACATCAGCTCAATAATATTTTTTAATCATTAAAGAATGAATTTCTTGTGTAGAATTCTTTTCAATATAAATGTTAATAATATGTTTTTCTTCATTATTACATTATGTAGAATGGCCGAATGACAAAAGTAAGCAATTAATCGGAACCCAAATATTAGCTGGTCCACTGCAGCTTAGCTTGGCACTATGGTTGCTCTCCCCGAAGAATGCACATTTTTCTAAAATTAAATGTATTGTATTTTTATACGGATATCACAAAACTTGCCCAACAATCTTCTAATTCCTGTCTTTTCATCTTTTTATCTTTTAGATGATTGGGCAAGTTGTACTACAACACAATCCAATGTACTTTTCAAGATTTAAAGAGTTGGATACATGTCAACCAAATCATCAATTTTATATATAAATATATAAAGTTTAGAAAAAGTCTTGTAGTTAAAGATGTACTGTCCCTTGCAAAAAACAAAATTTACTTGCCCATTTTGAAGGAACATAAAC